GCCTTTAAATCAAGAGTTATATCTTTTCTGTTCAGCAGTTCTTGTAGCAGTTGGAAGCAAGGCTGCATAGGTTTTGAGGGTAAACCAGGGTTTTCAAGTAAAATTTCTTATTAAGATTTAACCCTGAACAGTATCCCTTAAAAATACTCAAAGAAATTCAGGATATTTCTAAGTTCTCAGTGACTAGCCCATGGGGGTCCAGAGATATTTCTTTGGCAGCAGCATCTCTATTCAATGCTTGTATGCTGTCAATGTCATAATTCTTGCCACATAGGTATGCACTGTTACCTTCTCCCACCTCCCCCAATCTTTTCTCTCACCTGTCTTGCGGAATGCAGAACTTTGCTGTTCACTAATGAAGGTTTATACAGTTTTCTCCTAACTGCTGCATTTCTCTGTATTTCACATATAAAAAGTCAAAATGTATTTCATACCCTTTACATAAAGAACAGCTTCTCTTTTTTTGCTTTTGTAGGACCAGATCCTTTAGACGTTCTCCTAGGCTGTTCTATATTGAAAGTTGACAAATCCAGAGTAGTAATTATTTCCCAAAAGGAAACATTGAAACACATGGTAGGAATTTTCAAAACCTGCTGTAAGCCCTGCAGGAAGGTGCTTCTTTTTGTAATCAGTGCTCAAACTTTATCAGTGACTATGTTGGAAAATATTTCTGTGCTTTACAGTCAGCTGTGTGACAGGCAGCTTTACATTTGCTCCTGCACCAAAAGCTAGAATGTTCCTGAGATGTCCAGAGCTGACAAAGCAATTGTTTAAGCAGTCATATCATGATCTCCAGGCAATTCTAGCTGTGTAGTTCCTCTTTGGAGTCACCCACTGTGTGGCAGTCTAGATGGATGGTATTGGGAACACAGAAAGAAACCTGCTTAAATGGGAATTCTTCAATAGCTGTAGTTTACTTTTTACTTTGCTCCAAAGCCTTCTGATTCAGGGCTGCACTAGGAGCTGTGCTGTTAGTAGAAGGGTATAGACACATGGGATGTGTTCAGCTCACTGTACCCTTGTGCTGAAAATTAGTTTGAAGAGGGAATATTCTCAATTGCAAGGTTAAATAATTTTCAGTTTTGAGTAAAGACGTATGTATCATTATTGGCTCAAACAGTCAGAAGTATGTGTTCAGTATACACTATGTAGTCAGGTACACTCCTCAGCCTGAAGAATTTAAAGTTATATTACCTGTCCTTTTAGGAAGTGAGACTTGAATTTGAGGACAAGTTTTTGGTTTATTTGGTTCAAAGCAAGATTGTGTTTTTAATTTACTAAGGGAAACAGTTGACAGTTTAGAGAGATCTTGCTTTAGGCAGAAGGGGCCTGGGTTATGCTTATATGCTAGGTGAAGACTTTGGGCACTTTAGAGCATCCAAATAACTCTGTATGAGTAGCACACCCAATTACGCTGAGAGTTTTATGTCTACTCTGTTTGGAAGATAAATAGTTTTGGACTTCACCATGAACTTAAACACCAAAACACTTCAAAAAAGAGTAGACATGCACCTTGTAAGCTGGATAACAATTCCTTAATGCTTTATAAAAGATACTCAATTATCATAATTCTGGATGGGAAAGCCATTATAGGAAACAAAAAACTACATAATCAAACATTAAAATGTAAGGGAAACAGAAACTGACCAAAATTCTTCTAAAATATACTCTGACATTCAAAGTTGCCATAGCTACAGGAACATCCGATTGCTGAGGGCTTCCAAATGTAGGAAAAAAAAAAAATCTTTTCCTGTTTGGTTTTGGCTAGAGAATACCAGGAAGGTTACAAAGGCTTCAGCTTAGATCTTTCTACAGAAAGTCTAGGTTACTGATGTGGTTGTTCTCCCAGTCTGATTCTTCCATGGAAGCTTTCTATATACACACAGAACTCATTGGCATTAATGAGAGCAGACCTCACATATGTCCTTTCCTATATCCAGCTGCACTCCTGAACTCACAAGGCATCTGAATATTGTTATAATGATGTAAACTATGATTAGATCTTCCTTAGTAATACATTAGGTCCTTTTTCCATGAATGATGGTTTTGATATTACAGCTTATGTGACATTTATTTCCTGAGTAATTTTTGCTGCATACCCTAAATGTATATATTCTCAATAATAAAGTATTTTCTGTAGTGGAAGAGAAATTTCTAAGAGAGCAGCAAGTGCATTCTCTGGTACTCAGAGTTATGACTACGGTGTCTTTGTTAAAAAAGATCATGGTTTATTTTATTTATATTTATATATATTTATATATACTTATTTATATTTATACTTTTATTTCTTTACTTTTTTTTATTTACTTCTCATTTTTTTCTTGTAGGCAAAGACCTACATGCTTTACATATATTACTTTTAATTTTACAAGATTCCAAATATCATTTACCTAGTCAAGATTTTAATATTTATAGAACTTGAACTGAAAAATTTATGTCCAGTGACTTTATCAAGCCATTCATTGTATTTCAGAAAGTTGTAGATGTATTAAGACATAAATGTCTGTCGTAGAAATGTAATACACTACAGGGCTTCCAAACAACCATCCTTTTATTAACTTGCACAGTATTTATGCTTGTCATTTAAATCACTTAATGCAGTGTTAAGGGCAAAATCTATAGTATCTACAATGGCTTTATGATCTCTAATTTATATGATAATTTTTGGAAATAAGTAACTACATATTTCACATGGATAAAACCAAAACAGTGTTTGGATGGAGCTGTTGCTTATTTTCATTTAATTTTCATTTTATAAATGCCAATTATTTAATATTTACTGTGAGACAGAACTAAAATAGAAAGTCAGCCTTCTACATCTTGTTTGACAAGAAGGGAAAATTGTCAAGCAAGAAGAGGGAGTGCTTTTATCAGATAACAGGCTCAATTTTGCAGGTGCTCATCTGTGCAGCTCTAGTTCCAGGGCTCATCATTTGATCAGTTTGTGGCTGCACCATACAGTAATAAATGGGTAAGAGGACTTGGAGTAAGCAGAAACCAGCTACTCAGCAGATGAGCCTGGGACCAATGCTTAAAGGAAATCTGTAAACCAGAAAAAATATAGGCTGAAATTTTTGCTCTCTTTTGGATATCTCTAAATGTATATTTATGAGTAAGGGCTAGATCCTCATGAACTAACTGATTTCACTCAGTACCACTTGAAGCAATGTCTGGAGGCAAAAGTAGCACTGGAAATTCCATTGCAGAAGTACTTTCAGCAAAATGTTACTAGCTTTCAAAAGAGTATTTCTTTCCCTTTTAGCAGGATAGCCACACTTTTATCTGTAATACAGGCAAGATGTTAACATTCATGGCAAAGCAGTTTTGGTAAGAATTTCCCATTTTGAAATGTTACCTTCCTTTCAAGAGTCAAGAAACATTGTTAATAGATTTACAGCCTATTTGTTATTTAGAAAATAGGAATTAATTGAGGCCTCAAAATAATTTTATCAAGTTCCTTTATCACAGGTTTTATGAAAGAAAAGGCTATTTAATATGCTGCAAGATTTCTGCGATGTGTAAGGAACTGAATTCAAAGTATCTTTTTTGAAAACAAAGCCTTTGTATTTTGAATATTTCCTTCTCTAAAATGAAAATGAGACTAGACTTTTTTTCTTTTCCATACAGCATATGCAAGTCTCTATTTTAGGAGGAAACAAGTGAAAAAATACAATGAGTATTTCTCATTGTACATATACAATACACTAGGTTGGACTTAATGATCTCAAAGGGATCTTCCAATTTAGTTAATTCTGTGATGTCTCTCTAAGGAGAATGTTTTACTTAAGTAAAGCATCTATTAGTTTTTTGTAGTTTTATGGGGCTGTATCTTCACATCCTCTCTCTGAAGTTTTCTAGACAAGTGCTAAGTTGTTAGTTGTAACTAACAAGTGTTAGTTACATCTCACCACCCTACTGATATAATTCCAGAAGAATAGGCTGAGCAATGTTAAGGCAGGATCTGAAGTAACAGAAATAGACTCTGAAGAGAAAAAACTCTGAGCTACTTTGCTTTAGTTTGGTCAAATTTGATAGAAAATGAAACATTTGTTTCATGCATACAGTAATATAAAAATATTATGTAGCATGCAGTTACAAAATATTTTTTATGTAACATGTAGTAGCAATGGGGAGAGAAGAAAAATGGGAGAAATGTAATAGTGCAGAATGTGTGGACATAATTTACAGTTTAAAGTACCTACATAAAAGAGAATGTTTTATTAAAATGCATTAGTCATTTCCCAATTCTTTGGACAGCAGCATTAATTTAGATATCTTTCTAAACTGTTTTTCAAACCTTTCTTTCTACCATGTGTCTGCCATGGAGGTTAAATTCTGACTCTGTGAAATATTTATATGTTTTGTCAAAAACATATAAACACTCATAAACACTCCCGTTTGTGGGGTTCCTGTACTTACTAGAATTCATCTTTGTATTTAACCAGCAGACAAAAAAAGGTAATATGTTTTTTATTCTCAATATAGTTTCTAGATTTTTTTTCATTTAACCTTCCTTAAAATATCATCTACTGCAAAGTGAATACAGAGTGCCATGGTTTTAAGTATTTTATTGGTGTGATTAGAATAAATACTAATTTGTGTTAGAAAAGCAAAGAAATATGTTCCTTAAGACATTTGTATTCAAATGCTTTCCCTTCTGGATATTCTGTTAGAAATACAATTTGTCTTTTCATTTAATTTACTGTAAATAATTTTATAGGGACAGTTAATAAATCTGGCACAGTGATGCTTTGCACTGTACATAATTTTATGCACAAATAGACACACACAAATGTAACTCCTTCCTCACTGTTTTTCATATTCCATGTACTCTGTTGTTGGAGCCTTGACTTTTTCTTGGAAGGCCTTTGCAAGTCCTGCTGGAAGAGGTTATGAATCAGATAGGATAATCAGAAGTCTTTACAATTTTACTGTATCTTTGTTTGTCCTTTCTTTCACCTTTCCTTTACTGCACTATCTTGTCTGTCTGATTCTCGCAGGAGACATGGATTACAACTGGTTGGACCATACGTCTTGGCATAGCAGTGAGGCATCCCCAATGTCTTTGGTGAGACATGTGGAGCCTTACCATTTAGTTTCCTTTATCATTTTACATTTCCTTGGTTTTATTTACACCTTTGCATGTTTTCTTTTTTGTATCCTTTTTTTATCCCACACCTATAGGGGACAGTCAAAGGGGAAAAAGAAAAACTAGGGAGCAGGCAGTTTTGTCGGATTCTAACACCTTATCCGAGAGGCAAAAGAAAATGGTGTGCTTTGGTGGCCACTCTTTGGAAGAGGACTTGGAATGGTCTGAGCCTCAGATAAAAGATTCTGGGGTAGATACGTGTAGTAGCACAACTCTAAACGAGGAACATAGCCATAGTGAGAAGGTACTGAGATTACTGAGCCTGCATTTTAACCTGCTCATTTGGTCTTTGTTTGCTCTCTGTCACTCATTAAAATAGTGCATAAAATAAAAGATAGGGTGTTTCTAGAGACAATATAGCATTTCTTAAGGTGCAGAAAAGAAAAACAAATGAAAAGTCTTTGCATGCTTGCAGCTATTACTGTTTGGCAGCCTAAGGAAAAAAAAAAAAAGAGAGGCATAAAGGAATGTTGTTCTTATGGTTGCAAATTAGAATATCATATTACCTTGAAGAACAAAGTAATTAACAATAAGGATTCTACCAATTGGCTTATTTGATTTACTATTTCCAAACTCCTGGGGCTGAAATTAAATTAATAGTTTAAACCCCAGGTGAAAAAGGGAGAAAATTGGGTCTCTCTGCACAGAAAAGTTGTTTTTCTTTTTTCCCTTTCACTGTCATGGTTGTTCATTTGTTTTGTTGCCATGCAATTTTTGTGCAGTACTGTGCAGAATCAAAGGCTTTGCCATCTGCTTTGGTATTTTTTATTTTTGCTTTCTGTTTGGTGGAGATTATGATAAATCTTTTTAGAGTTATTAGTTGTAATGGGAGTAGATTTATCTGTGCTTGCTAATTTTGCATGAAATAGAGCATGAAATAATATTTTTCCGTGAAAAAGTACTATGATTACACAAAAGAAAATCTTTACAATTCATTAATTAGGCCAATAGACAAGTATAACTGTGCCCATGTATAGTGATGGAATAATAATGCCCACTGTAACTGTGCTTCATATGTGAATTAATAATGACAAGAAAGAAAAATAATATGAAAATGAAGTAATGAATATATTTCTAATAGTATTTTTTATCTACTACTACTGGGAGAAAGTAAAACACTAAAAATACTTGTTGGTCTTGGATAAAAATTGAAATGTTTGAAGTAGTGGAAAAATAAGACATTTCTTATATCAAACTTTCAGTTTGAGCTAAACTTCTTTTCCAGTATTACTCTTATAGTAGAATTTTAGCTGTTTTTCTCAGTACTCAGATGTGATTCTCATTGTGTTTAGATAATTATGTGTAGTTGTCTATATCTGTCAAATCAAGATTGAAAGATCATTCTAGATGTTTAAAAATTGGACTCAGTAAAATAGATAATGTTATTAAATATTAGACATCCATTTTGATAAACGATATGTCCAAATAAATATTTTCCAGCAAAGTTTTCTGTCATTTTTTACATTAAATATGAGTGTAATCATAATACTTTCATAGCATTTTTAAAATATATCAGCAAATGAAAAGTATTACTGAAATATTTTTCATTGAAATACTATTCACTGTATTTTCCATTAACATCATTTCCATAGCATCCAGTGACTTGGCAACCATCCAAAGATGGAGATCGTCTCATTGGTCGGATTTTGTTAAATAAACGACTAAAAGATGGAAGTGTGCCTAGAGATTCAGGAGCAATGCTTGGATTGAAGGTTGGTGATGAACAATTTTTGAAATTAACAACTCTCAGTTAAACTAGCTACTTTTACTACTAAAGTATTCTCATGTTATATAGTGTATGCATACCAATATTGATAATGCCTTATCATTCTCAAAATTACAATATAGATATTTTATAGTTGTTTACCTAGAGTAATTTTGCAGTGTCCTTGGCAGAACTGAAAATTGTATTTTTCTGAAAGACTAGACATGTTTTCACAAGTTTTCTGAGAATGTCTTCTTAGAAAAGTACTAATTGCACCCTTGCTAGGCAAGCCAAGTCCAGTCTGTCTCCTTCAGTATGGAGCTTTGCACCATGGTATAACCTCTATTCCCCAAGAAAGAGAAGAAAAGGGAAAAACAAATTATCTCTCTTGAGGACCTGGGGGACATCTGTGAGTTAACGACATTTTAGTCCAGATCAGAGTGTGCCAATGGAACTTCATATTTTTGAATTTTTTTCTCCTCTGATTGATTTGCCACATTTTAAAAAACACTGAATGTAAAATAGTTTAATATTATTGGTTTTTCTCACAATTTTTTTTTTTTAATGTATTAACCTCTTTTTCATGATGCAGTGCTCTTTAAACACATTATGAATTATTTCTATCTCCTATATTGATCTCAATTTTGTGTGGTGTTATTATTATTTGCAGTTCCAGAAATACTAGGACAAGCATGAGAACAAACTGTGAAAAGTGAAAGAAGCAAACATGTATTTATTTTCATTCCAAATCCTTGCAGTGAGACATTATTAAGAAGTTTAAATTTTCCATTCTCTATTTAGCATGACTCTTACTTCACCTCAGGTATACAGATGAGGTTATAGTCACACCCTATGAATAAGGATTAAATCAGTGTAGTTTTGTGTTACATATACTAACAAGTTTTGGAAATATTTAAAATTTTTATTTAATTAATAAATTATTTTCTTTTAAGTCAATGGAGAAGCCAGTTGAACATCAAGTTTTATATGTTTATTTTTGTCTTTTTGTCAGAAAATGCAAGAGAAGAGATTAACAGTGCCATTAGGAAGCACTTTTTGTTTAAACATCTATGTTAAAATTTCTAAAATCTTATATTATAAAGATGAACTCTTGAGTGAAATTCATTAATAGTTCAGATTAAAGAGTAACTACTTTTTACTCTCAATAGAGTAAAAAGAGTCATTTCCAACAGTTATCCCTTGCCTGAATTTTCAAGTATTTATATATTGAAAGTAAATTAAACTGGATTTAGTATTTCAAATTTTAAATCCCGGTATGAAGACTGTTAAGAAACCATAAGAATTTGAAGATTATTAAGTTTTGACTGTTTCTGACATGTAAGTCTGATTCTAAGATAAATATTAAGGTCAAACCTGTTTAAGTTCCCTGTAGAAAAATTTTCAGTGTGACAAGTGTTTTCATGTGACTTTCCAAGCCAAAGGGAATTTCATTGCTTAGTGTGAGCAACCTGAGTTCTGTTATATTAATATATCTTTTTCCAGTTAAATAAATAATGAAGTGGGCAGTCTAATGACCAATACCTTATATAGTTTTGGATAGTAATTTATAATATAAATTACTATACATATATTTATTTGTTAATTCAAAGATTTAGGATTCTCTATTCCATTGTTTTTCAATAGTACAAATTGCCAAAATAGCTACAAAAACAAACTGTTATAGCCAAACTTCTATGGTGCTTTTTTCAAGTGTGTATGTATTACCTGGAGTACATAAAACCCAAAGAAAAAGCTTAATTCTTCTATTTCCAGAACACTTAAATAATTTAAAGTAATTTTCATACTATGAAAATACTTCCTATTTGAAACAGGTAGTAGGAGGAAAGATGACTGAATCAGGTCGACTCTGCGCATTTATCACCAAAGTTAAAAAAGGAAGCTTAGCTGATACAGTGGGGCATCTTAGACCAGGTATGTATCTGCTATAGATCTCTACTGCTGAGTTGCTTTTCTGAAGGTGATAACAAGTGAGCAAGTTCAATTCCATGTGAAATTATATTAAATAGATGTGATGAAATACTGCGGAATTCAACATGACGCTGTTACTAGATGGTTGCTTTTGTGAAATATATATTCTCATGTTGTTCAAAAAATATTTTAAGATTTTTACTCATTTTTGTGTTCAAAGTAATAGTCTGTTAATGTCCTCCCCAGTCATTTTGTGGTGTAGGTTTTGTTCAGAGCAAACCAAGCAATTACAAATGTATGAGCAGAGCCACCTTGGCTAGGAAGCTCCTTCTGGTTCTAAATGCCAACCATAGATTGATAGACTGGAGAATGTTCAAGAAATATTAGCTATTAACTTAAGAACTGTCTGAACTGTAGATACTATGCTTGTAAAAGTACATGAATCTCCAAAACAGTAAGTTGATGAGCTCTGATGTTTTAGATATGAATTTTTTAAAGAGCATATTGGGATTTCTGTAAGCCACAGCTGCCAAAGCGAGTAACAGCAGCATCTAACTCAATAGGGTTCCTACTGATCACATTATTGTTTCACAGAACCTTAGATATTTGAAGCTGAGCTGCACAAAACCTTTAATACTCAGGATTTTCCTGCATGCAGGCCTCCAAACTTGTTCTATAATACAAGTTTCACAATCCAAAAACCTGACAGTAGAATGGCTTAAATTGTTATTGTAAGTGCTGTTGACAGCAAACTTCCTAAGCAGAGTGTTATTGACTTACAGGTGATGAAGTCTTAGAATGGAATGGAAGGATACTACAAGGAGCCACCTTTGAGGAGGTGTATAATATTATTTTAGAATCCAAACCTGAGCCACAAGTAGAGCTAGTAGTTTCAAGACCAATAGGGTAAGTAACTTCATATGTTTTTTATATTAAATATGATAAAATTGTTCACTTTTAGGATGTAGTATATCAAACATTCATTAACATTGTAAACAGAAAATCTTATGTAATATTCTGTAAACCAAAAGTGTATCTAAAATGATAGATCATGCCAGTGAGTAAAAAGAGCTGGTGTGAAATTATGTATTCTCGAAGACTCATGTATCATCTGCTATTATGGTTAAAAATAGGTTCCCTTCCCTGGCTTTTCAGTTGGTGAGAGAGCCTATATTGGCTCTGAAACTGTGCTTATATTGCTTGTAATTCTTGACTGTTGATTTTTATTTCTCCATTCCTATTTTCTGTAGTACATACATAAAATTATGAGCTCATATTTGGTCTATGAACTGATGATGAACTCAATTTATTGAAAGTCTGCAATGTAGAATTTTGTGTGAAATATAGTATGCTAATGAAAAAAATCAATATGCTTTGGAAAGTCTCAAATCCACATTCAAATCTTCTTAATCTATTGAACTATTAAATTATTCTTTGTTATCTAATACAGAACACATCTGAATGGTTAGAACTGTGTGGGACTTTTTCTTTGGCTCTGTACATTGCCCATTTTTATTAACCTTCAAACCTACCTCTCAATGTCTAAACTTAATTTTTTCTTGCATAGCAGTAGTTGCTTTGTTGTATTGGACTGGGAGTACTTCCCCTTCTTCACCTGTTCTTTTTCTTCCAAGTTCCTACACCCTAAAGCCATATGCATCATGTTTTTAATTCTCCAATGGAAGTTCCATATATGCTCACATCAGGGTTATGAAGAGGGGAATGATTATCACCGATTTTGAAGATATTTACAATTATTAAGTATTTTCTTTTTTTCCCCCAGAATTTATTGATATACAGGACACAACTGGGCAGGGTGATAGGTAATGTCATCTAGATTCCCTTTTCCATGTTAGGTTGGACCAGATGATCTTTCAAGGTCGCTTCCAAACTGGACTGTTTTAGGATTCTATAATTACGTTTTAATAAATATATTTTTCCCTTTATTTTGCATAAGATGCACCTTAATATAAGAAAACATGACTAAAAATTAAGAAATACTGAAAATATCTAGAACAATATAATCTGAGAATGACATTTCAGTGAGGATGAAGTTTCAGCTATAACAGGAACTTATTGTATTGATCAGGAACTTAAGGTGTAGGAACTTAATTTGGTATGGCAATTTTAAACAAACTTGATAACAACAACAACAACAAAAAAGCTTTCTGTTGTCAGTGAGATGAGAGGTAATCTCCTGCATACATATGGAATTGCAACTCCTTTAGGGTAAAGATTGTATCATCTTTCCTACCATTAAAAACCTTTGCATAACTTGTGAGGTGTGGGTATAATGGTAATGCTAAGGGACAGACTACATTACTTGTCTCAGAAAAGGTCTCAAATTAAATTCATACACAGATCTTTCCTAGTATCTCTCAGACAGAAGTTTATAGCAAAAGTTTCAAGGAACAAATCACTCATGTCTTGAAAATACACACTTTTTAAATCTTTCTGCATTCTCTTCATTGTGTAAAATCTCTTGTATTATTTCATGTGCTTTTATATTTGCTGTCTCTTGTTCAGCTTCCTTATCATCATGTCTTCTGTTATGTTGCTGTCACTCGAGCAGCTCATTCATAATTCCTTAAACAAGGTGGTGTGGGCTCTCAAGATGCCTTTTCCTGTATTAACCACTTGCCTCATTGTCTGAAGAACTGAGCTAGATCACGGATAAAAGAGTTCAGTGTGTTTGATTCCCAGAGTGATTTTGCAGTAGATGTAAAAGAGTCTCAGTGATGAACACTTACTTACTTGTAAAATTGGGAGGTTTTAGATTCTGGTTAGGTGTGTGTAACTCTTTGGAGTTTAGTATTAACTGCATAATGTCAGAAATGTTTTTCATGAGGTTGGAGCTGATGAACTGAAAAGACTATATTACTTTTTTCTGTTTAGAAGATTCCAGTTCATAATCAAATAGACAATAAAAATTAATAGCCTATGCTTGTCCAAGGAACCATAACTTCATAGGATTTTGTTCTGCTCTGGAAAATAAAGTTTCAGTGTATGTACAATATTTGAAAGTTTTTATTTTCTAGATATCAGAAGTAACATTTTTTTATAAGGATTATCGATGCCCAGTTGAAGGATTTTGCTTTTGCATCGAGATAAATCTTATTATTTATAAGGAGAATTTCTTGATGGTTTCATGGCAACGCTTCAAATTGTGCAAGAAATCTTCAGTTACCAGCAATTAACTTAGCTGAGAACCTGTTGTCACATCCTGATGTTCTGAGAACAAAACCAAAATTCAATAAATAATTATTAGTTTTTCTGTTTATTATGGGCTGAGTGCTATGAAAACTGAAGACGAAAAGCTAAGCTGACAAGGCAGATAAAATTGAAAGCCATTCTAAAAAAATCCCAACAAAACAAAACATAACAGTTTGTAATGCAATGTACCACTTTTTACAACTTAAAATAAAAATTGATGGCCGAGTTGCTAATCAGTGTGAGCTGGCTGTCACTTATACACAGGAACTTAGCTATTTTCTGCCTTCTAATTCTCAGAAATAGATAACTTAAAATGCATGTTATTTTAATGTTTTTTTCACTTTTGAATTTTGAAGAAATAATGCACTGTCTTTAATAGTTACTCTATGCATCCTGTTTGCAGTGGAACATATCTTATTATGCAAAGTCTTTATGAAACTAATTTTACTTCTCCTCCATCTGTTTATCTCCATGAGAGCTCCTTGTTAGAAATACTATTCACAGTACCATGAAATATGGGGATCTGTATGCTTTAGGATCATAAATGGTATGGTTCAAAGCTCTCAAGTTTATTTTTTCAGCTGTCTATAGAAAACTCGTACTCATGATGTTTAGAACGGTTTATATATTATATATCCTTTTTTCAAGGTTTTCTTTTCAGACTCACATGGTAGAAGAAAGTTTTTGTATTTATGAGTTTAGCTCAACAGTATACTTTTGAGTCAATTACTAGGCGAGTATTGGATCCTGTTATAAATTCTCCTTATATCAAATATGCAAACTTAAATATTTGCTTCTTCGCTAGTGCTTGTGAGTTTCTCACAAGTTTTGGGTACTAACAACAGAGATTTTTTTACTGTCTGTCGTGGGCACTTAGAGCAGTTTCATGCCTTCTGATTTATTTCAGTTATTGGATACTGTGCTTCAACTCACTTGGAAAGATTCCTCAGTCTGCTTAGTGAGCTGTCTTTCTAGTGAGTCTTGAAGAATGTTTGGAAAATATATACTAAAGATACTCTGGAAAACCTTTTCTAAAGGAAATAAGTTCTAAGGAAATACAATTAGAGTCATACTGACTCTAATTGTATGAGACAGTAGAACATTTTTCATTTCCCCTTCCTTTTCATTTACCTTTGTGATGGGTTGACCTTGACTGAGCCCCAAAGACTTGCTCTCTCCCCTCCTCAGAACGGCTGCAGGAGGAAATAAGATAAAAAAGCTTATGGACTCCTCAGCAGTAACCATCGTGGGCAAAACAAGCTTGAGGAAGATTAATTTGTTAGAAATTAACTAGAGAAGAATAGTGAGAAATGAAACCAAAATTAAAGCATCCTTACCCTTACCTCTCTTCTTCCCAGGCTCAAATCCACTCATTTTTTCCTGTTTTTTCTGTCTCCCTCTCCATCAAGCAGTCCATGGCATGGGGAAAGGGAGTTGCAGCCAGTCCTCCTCATCCACCTTCTTCCCTGACCTTGGTGTATACAACAGCATTTTCCTCATGGCTTTTTATTCTCATTGTTTTCACTCCCAGCTGCTGCACAGCAGTTTCATCCTTTATTAAATATGTTATCACAGAGGCACCCAAGGAGCCAGCATGGTGCAGCCCCAGCCTCTCCTCACCATGGCCACCCCCCAGGACTGGCTGTGGCCTTGGAGAAACCAACTGCACTGAAACACACTACACAATTGTAAATATTAGTATTATTGGGATTCAGAACTGAAGCTCTTCATCTTGGTTTTGCTCAAATAGCTCTGAAATTATTAGCATATTGATAGTTTTTATTAGCATACAGTAATGTTTGCCCCTCAGAGGAAGAATATGTTCCTTTGCCTGGGGGGATGTGATTGAGTGCTTTGAAATTTCATGGCTCTGCACACAATTTAATGCAGGTGTTGCAACATGTCTTATGTAGGAAAGAATGCAATTTTGCCAAATGAACATTTTATTTAGTTATGGAAAACCAAAGATTAAATTGGCTGACTTAAATTGGTTAAATTTGTGGCTCAAGGATAGTAAAGAATATACTGGGATAGCCATGATTGGCAGTCAAGTATGTTTGAGTGAGGGTCCAGTAAATTTAATTGATGTACAACATTATCGTAAAATCTACTACTCACACTTTTAGTCTACCACTAACACTGAGATTGTTCTTTTATTTACTGAGTTATTTTATTTGTGACTGTGCAGCCTGTCCCCTGCATCCACCAAATCTGTTCTGTAGGATTTAATTTGACACTGAAATTTTTTATACTGGATAACAAATAATCATCCCAGTGGCTGAAGACAGCCAGCATATCATGAGCCATTCCTGAGGCATTCCACGGTGGATTGGGAAGTGTTATAGTGTAACTGAAATTTAAATATGCTTGTTAGATAAAGGATCAGCTTGTCTTAATTTTCCTGATTTCAGAGACATTCCCAGAATACCTGACAGCACACATGCACAGCTGGAGTCCAGTAAGTTTCAATTGTGGGGTAGGAAAATCTTCTCTCTCTTTTATGTAAGCACAAAGAGAATGAACAGTGTCCTCTGCAGTCAGTATAGGTCTTGTCATTTTGTCTGTATTTGTCTCAATATGTCATATTACTGTATTACCTATCTACTTTGTATAATAATAAACTATCAAAACTCAGGATATTGTGATTTAGGTTCAACATCGGTTATAAGCTTAGATGAGTTTCAATTAAAGAAAGTGTAATTCATACTAATATATAAGAAAATTAGTAGCAATTTTTAATTTCTCTTGCTTTGCATTTCACTTGCATCTTATAAACTAAAAATGGGAAATGTTTTACAGCCTGAGTGATAGCTACTTTGAACTCAGAATACCCTTACTTTATTAGAGCTACTCAGTGCTACTTAAATTGACTAAACTCATATATCATGTAATGAAAAATAACTTGTTCTTTGGCTTAGATCTGATAAGATGGATTTCAGCCTGAAGTAATTTTTATCATTGTTTTGTAACACTATTATAATAAAAGCCATGAATAAATGAAACTACTTAAGCTTGATTATAATAATATGAAAAACTCTTTTACTTTACTCCTAAAAATTACTTTTTACTTATTACCCAATTCTTAAAATTCATTTTATGTTTTGTGAGATGTGGATTGTCTTTTGTATTTATAAAATACTTTACTTTTCCTCTATGTTTTGTATGTCAAAACTTGCCCTCTGACCATTTTCAGACCTTGTAGATTATAAAGAAAATGCACAAAAAATATATTCATATTTTTGTAAAAGTCTAATTAAAAATTAGTCTGATTGTACAAGATAATAAGTCAGAAGACTGAATTCATTTGACCACAGTGAAGTGTTTATTTTAGGGCCTTCAACTTACTGATAATTACAATCAGAAATATTTGAATAATCTATATACCATTCTATAAATAAAAGCTCCTGATTGCATCTGAGCACCAAAAGATTAAGTACCATTATTTGTTAAATTTAAATAGAGTGAAAAGAGTTGTATTTACCACAGCTTTTCTGCATGTTTGGTTACATTTCTACAATTTCTATTTTAAAAATGTTCAAATATATGCCTAACTACTACTATTTATAAAATATTTTTGTTTATAATTGCAGGTTCTAGTTCATTTGAATCTCAAAAAATGGACCGACCTTCTATTTCAGTGACTTCTCCTATGAGTCCCGGCATGTTAAGGGATGTCCCACAGTTCTTGTCTGGACAACTTTCAGTATGTAAACATTTCATTGATATTAATGTTGTGCTTTTTGCAGCATATACAACTCTTACTGTAGTGATAACTGCCTATAATAGAAATTTCTTGTTAAACTAGCTACCTTTTTTGTTTAATGCTATACATCTCAGCCTAGGCAGGAACATAATTTCATAATCATATTCCATTTTATTAGCTTTTGGAAATTTTACATGAATTTGATTTGGTATATACATGTGTATTTATCTGGTAAGCTAGACCGGTAGAGTCAAATTTTTGGAAAGATCTAATCTCATCCTCCAGTTATATTTGTGCTGTTGAGTGTAAACATTTTATCAACTGTCACTGTAGAGTTGGTAGATTTTATTACCTATGTGCTTGGATGTTATGACTGCTTATTTTTTATGCACTAACTTTCATATATAACTTCCCCAGATATCCCTCTGACATTTTACTCATGTTGTGTTCTTTGTACTGCTGTTACGCACTTTTGTTCTTCACTCTCACTGAGAAGAAAGTTCATGATGTGAATTTTAAAGGGTACTTTTTTGTAATAAACTGAAGAAGTTGGGTTTTGTGCACCTTTCCATGTTGTTTACAATTCCAAAGTGTGATTTTTCAAAAGTGCTCAGTTGTGGCCTGGCATATTGAAAAGGAAAGGCAAGTGGAGTGGAAGCAGTGCAAAACTGGTGTTAAACAAGTTTGGAAATGTCACATTCTTGTTACATCCAAGTTGTGTATGTTGAATGTACCATAAAAATATGCATAAAAGCCAGGCAGACTGTTTCTAGGTCTCACAGAAATGGTTTATGGTATTGATAGAGGAGATGGAGAATATTTTTGTCTCTTCAGTGGCCATCTTGGCTCCATTTTACAGTGCATGAAACATTATTTGTTTGCTCATCTGAACAACCATTTACAATATATAATTTTTTATTTTCTGTAGTTGTTGTACTTAACAACTTTGAAAGATTCAATCCTTTGGACAAATGAAAAACTAAAAATCTTGATTGTAGAATACAGAGTGCTTTGCAAAAATACAATGACAAGGGAACAGGAACTGTCAAAACACACAGACCAAAGTTTCTAAACACCCTCTTATTTTTACAAGACAGTAAAGATTTTTGATAGAGGAGACAGGGAAGAAAGAAATTTCTTTTGTCTAAACTTCATAAAAGATTAGGCTGTCAGAAAGTTGTGGTGCCTAGCTCCCAGCAGGAAATTCAAGAGCCGGAGTTAGCTGCTCAGGTGACCAGTGCACTTACACTATGGAATAATTGTCCAGATAGGAACCACATAGAAATGACTTGCTGACTTTCTCAGTTTCAGATCAAAATCATTATGAGTTTAAGATTAGGATTTTTTAGTGAAGTCAGTATGTCTTTTGATTTAGTGATTTGATTGGACACTGAAGTTTGAGGTATATAATCATAGCATTGGAAAATTTTGAGGTATATTCTAATTTATTGAGAATAAGTATTGAGAAATCCAAGGTTTTATTTCTCAGAATGGCATATAAAATTCAGTGTTAAACTCAAGAAGGCATAATTCCTATTTTTATTTCTTTTTTGAATGATTCAATATATAACTGCCTATTCTAAAAGGTTTCTTTCCATCTAAGGATACCAAATAATTCTAAGAGACATTAGAAAATATTTCCTATTTTTTTTTATACTTCCTTATGTACTTTTTGCAATTACATTCAATACTCCCTATTATATATTATCTATGTTTCCCTCAGAGAGCAGCTGATAACTGTGTGAGAACACAAAGCTCCAGCTGAGTGAAACTGAAGTCAGAAATACTCTGTAACGCTCAAATATCGCAATTTAGACATCTAAGATTAGTAGACAGTTCAAAAGTTTGGATGCTTGTCTGCCCAGCTAATGAAACATTGGAAATAGCTGTATTTCATGTTAATCACTTTAAGGGCACAATCCAGTTCCTGCTGCTGTTGGGTCAAGACTTGGGGAGGCAAGTACTAAACCTTTTGCTTTGTGAGCAAGGGTGGCTGTCACAGTGTGTGAAGATACTCTGGATAGGTGGCAACATGGGATCTAACTGGGCAAATTGCAGTGTATATGCTAATATGCATTTTTAGAAATAGAGGACTTTATGAGAATTGAAGTATTCTACAGGAACAGTGTTTTCAAAACAATCAATGTAGTTTCTTTTTGATCTCATACTTTAAGATAGTTTTGAAAAATGAAAAATTTTGTGACATCAGATTTGGGTGTTTATGTTCTTGAAAGTAGTATGATAGATAGTTTTTCATTCACTTTTTAATATTTGGGTTTATAATTCTAAAATTTTTAGAAGTTTTGAAACTTTGGAAGAGTTAGTGAAAAAATCCTGTTTGTAAAGTTGGAGCTGTTTTGAAAACTTAGAATAGACTATGAGATTTTCTAATTTTGGACCTTTAACAAAGGTGAAGTATTAAGGTAAAACTGAACTTTAAAAATCTTGTCAAGTTACAAAAAATATTTTATTTTGAATGCTACAGTGTGGATGTGCTTCAGTATTTTGGTTTTCCATGTCTTAATCATCTCTTTTCTAACAGAACAGTTGATGGATCACACTCATTCAAAATAGTAAGGTAGAAATGAAAGGAAATACTAAATTCTGAATGTAATTGTGATTGTGCTCTTTTATGAGGAGTGCCTGGACAGGAGAATAACTACAGAATCCTGGCAATAAATGAGGACAGGATGCTGTTCTTTGTGGAAGTTATGGGTCAATGGCATTCTGGGTGATGGTGGCCACATTCAATCAGGTGTGATGGATCTGAGGGAACAGATGAAAGACAAGGTTTTGGAAGTGTTTTCCAGATTTTCTGTGCCTTTGAACAGTAGCATGTAGTCCAGAAGGGTTGCTGTTAGTGCAGCTGTGGTAACTGTGACATGTAAGCAGTAAAATGCAAGAGTTGTGGGCAGAAATACAGATTCAACAGTTTGGATGAAAGTCTGAAGTATTTGCATACTTGAATATAGGCTTATTCAGACAGTGCTCTAGATCCCTAAAGGATTTTTAGATATTAACAGCATTTTGGAATCTATTTCTTTATGTTTAGTATGCTTTTTGGCTGGTTTAGCTGCAGCAATGCCACTGTAGGACTCAAGGATGTTTTTCTCTCTGTTCAGCCTTCCATATTTTCCTCTGAACTGGCACTGGTCTGTGTAAGTGTTTTCTTTGTGGAGGTTATGGTGTCAGTCTAGCTGACTAATAGAATTGACCACAAAGTAAATCGTCCCACATAGACAAGAAATCTTCTTTACATTAATAATTATTCTGCCCAAGTACATATTTAATTGAACAAATCATGTGCAACTACAGTAAACTATTGTGTGTTATAATGTACTAATATAATTTATCCATATTTTCTGTGTTTTATTTTATAGCACTTTTTATTCATGTTGTTTTTCAGGGGAGTATCTGACTGTTATTGCAATTACAGTTTTTTATTATTTGCTTTGTCTCATTCCTGTTTCTGTATTTTCTCACTGAGTTGTTTTTCCTTTAATATAATTTTGAAAAAGTCAAAAGTATTCTTTGTATGTTTGTGCTCTTAGCTTAACTACTAAATTTTGGCTACATTTTCTATACTGCATGAAAAGTATAACTTGAAATGCTTTTCCAATAGTTAGGTTTAGGGAATAATAACATAAAACCACTTAAATGGGTACAAGTATGAAATCACAATATTTAATTTTTGTACTGGTGGAAGTTCTAGCAGAAAAGGGATGTCATTTATAAAATTAATTTATTTCCCCATACACTTGAACCCAGAGCAACAATAGATGTTGCATTCAAATTTAGTTTATAAAGCAATAAAATTAAAGTTATATAAATTATGGTTGTAATATATGCAGCATAATAGAAAGCCTTTATTGTACATTATGAAGGGCCTATATGTCAGCACATTGAGGGGATGACATCAAGAACAACACGTTACCCCTTTCACCTGTTATTTTTCCTTTTCTTCCTCCCCTTTATACCTCTATACAATTGAATTGCTGTTGCTCTAACATCAAAACCTGGAAAATTCTGGGTAATGCACACAGTGCATTGATTTTCCTCTATTTCCAAGGCAGAAGATGACAGGTGAGGACCCTTGGTGCATGGTAGGAGAGATTCTGTCTCTCTTAGGATCAATATCCTGTGGTAAATTATTTTCCCCTTGTAAAATGGAGCTGAAGCAAGCTGAAGATCTACTTTTATTGTGACTAGGTCACTTTCTGACACCGTTAACACTGGGCTCTGCAGTCCTGCCCATGCAGAGTAGCAGGTAGAGTGCAGCTGCTGCACCTTGCAGAGTGCAGGGAGCACAGCAGACAAAGTCCGTGATCCAGACTGTCAAATTTTCTTATATATCCTCTTTCTTTGATGTAAGAACAGATTACTTCACACATTTTATAGAACAGATTTCTCCAGCATCTGTACATGCTAAATAAGCAAGGAGGGTGGCAGAAGCATCATCACAGTGCCTATTTCCATGCTTTGGGTACATTTCTAATTCAAGTGAATATTGAGTAGTAGCTTCTTTCTATCATTTTGAATTAGATCAATAATCTCTGGAAAACTGAGCAGAGGTAAAGGAGATTCCAGTCTATCAGATGGATGTGATTGTTGTGACCTACTCTGTGCTCCTGTTCTCCCACTCACCAGCCCTTTGAGCCCTTTTCATGTCCATGCCCCATACTCTGTACCAATTCTGTGCCACTCCATTAGCTGTTGCCCTGAGCTGAAGTTGGGAGTGGTTGTTTGGAATTTGCAGCTAGTCCAGGAATTTGTGTTGCCTGTACTCGATGTAGTCTTGATGTAGCTATTGGAGGCCACAAGGTTGTATGTGGTTCAAAGTGTTACAGCACAAAAATATGTTATAAATGCATCTATATATGCAGTTTGCTTAACTCTCTAGCTCCCATTTCATGCAAGGGTTCTGTGTCTATACCATATGTCATTTCTGTCATGATTGCTAGGTAATTGAAATACATAGATTGTATAGATTCTCCATGTAA